GTCGGAAGAGATATGCGGAAAACTTCGAAGAGCTCGAGTGGATGATTTGGAAATAGAGTTCAAAGACCGGGAAGAATTGGAAATACTGCTCCGTTCCATCTAGAAAAGAAATCCGAGATGTTATAGGCCTCTGCAAATTCGAAATCCTGTGGGAATGATAGGGTTATGAAGGAAATTCTGAAGTGCCATAGCAAAATCTTACTGAATTGGATCCATCTGGTTTTTGAGAGTATCTGGCGGAAGTCGGAAATTCCAGAGCAATGAAAGTAGGACGTGATCATTCAAACGTGGGAATCGTTCTGATGGTGATAACCACCGCGGAATCGCGCCTATGTCTATGCTAGAAAAGATATGCAATCCAATCCTTCTCCGAAGACTGAAAAACACAGCTGACGTTTCGCTTCGATCGAGTCACACAAGGTTTTCAACTGGACTATCGTATACGAATAACATCGCAGTACAAAAGAAAATTATCGATCAAGGAAGAAGCTTCCAACTACGTTGGCAAGCAATATTCCTCGACTTCTGAGCAGCTTTTGATTCGTTACACCGTCAGTCTCCATGGCGCATACTACTGCACTATGGAGTACCGCAGAAAATCATCGGTCTGCTAAAGGAACAGTACGAAGGTACTAAAGGCTCCATCAGAGCAGAAGAATTTTCTGGTCTGGTTTAACATCAACAGTGGAGGGCGTCAAGGAGAGATACTTTCACCTCTATTGATCAACATGGCGGTGGATTATGTGATGCGGAGGAGCGTCGTCCCAAAAAACAACGAGGAATCTACTGTCAGACGACGGCTCAGCTGAAGATACCTAGCAGTATTCATAATACATCTCGGGTACGCTGATGACGTGCTGCTGAGACAACTTGCCTTACTGACATTAAGCGGTGTGTGTAGGATGGCCATGACGGCAAAACTAGAAGTTAAGCCAACGAAAACGAAGATCATGTGAATGCCTTACTCGACAAACGACCGAAAGATTGAATGGGGTGGAACGATCATCGAGGAGGTTGAGAACCCCAATTACCTCGGTCCTTTACTAGCACGAGTTGAAAGCTGCGATATGGAAGCTTAAGGCTGGCATCTGTGAACTTCAGGTGACATTTTAAACTGTGGCTGATATATCTGGACAGTAGCAAAGATTACTATATTGAAAATCGTAGTCTTCTTAATCTTAGTTTACCGCCAAAAAAGATGTTGGATACTCTTCAGCAGCGCTGTTTGCGGAATATTGTGAAAGTGCGATGGTTCCCATGAATAAAAAATGAAAAAATCTTGTTGACGACCGGCGTGAGAATGCTGTCTAAAGAAATCAGGAACCGGCTTCTGTCGAACATCCAGAGAGAATGAAGACCTATTCAAAACCATTCGTCTCTGGGAAGCAAAAACTGATCGAAAACGCGTCAGAGGCCTACACTTGCTTGTGATGAGGAATATGCTTATTGCTGCAGTAACCTATATCGCCTAAATCATTCTAAGCGAAAGCGTCAGGCATTAATCTGGCGACTCGGTCATTGACTCTGATACGTCAGATAACGAAGACACCAAAAACAAATCGTTATCATTCTTAGCTAGCTTATGCAGGAATGCGAAGATGGTGGAAAAGTTTTGGATGAATAGTCGTAATCACAGACAAATAGCAAGAACTGACTAAGTGTTTTTTTGGCTCGATGGTGTGACGCTTAGCCAGGGTGACACAAGGTTGAGCTCCTCTGGGTATGTCCTGGGGAAGGAGTGCACATTTTCCGGGTTTCGCTTTCAGGCTTACTTGAGTCATATGACCATCTATATTAGGCAACACAGTGGTGCTGACCTGGTGGACGATGCAAGAGTTCCACTGGAGTGCTGAAAGTACATGTTACATCGACCTTTGGAATGCGCTGGGCGCGTTGCACAACCTGAATAGCATGCTTTTGAATTAGTACACACTGAATGAGTTGAAAACGGGTCGTTTCTTTGTCTCACTCATCCACTTCAATCTGCCAACATCCAGAAACCAGCTTGGTCGTGTATTTGGCAGCTCCCAGTTTATGAAGCATCATCGATCCGAAAAATTGGCTGGCATTTTTGGCGCGTGACTTTGTTCAGCTTGAGATAGTGTACGCAAAATCATGCAATTTCGTCTGTTTTCTTCAAGAGCTCAACTAGTGATGCCTACAGGCTTTTGGTCGGCTCGATTTTGGACTTCTTTACCAAATTTTCCACAAATTCTATAGCTTGTTTCCGATGATGGAAAGGAATACTCCGAAGTCTCTGACAGATTGGTTCTAGTGTTGATTTCATGTCCACTAAATTCTTTCCCCCGAGATCATGGCCTCCTTGAGAGAGCACATCTCAGCATTCCTGATTACAATTGATAACTAGTTTTTGAGTCCTACCTTGAGCTCTCCATCTATTGGCAGCATCCAGTTAACGTCATCGTTAGGGCAGGGTCTTCCCAGGAATCAGGGCTGCACTGATATACTTAGATGGACACACTGATTGAATTCGTGTTGCCCAGACGAGTCATAGCGTGCAAAATTCTGGGTTGTGAACCAACGGTAAGGACGGGAATATCTCCACCTTGTCTGCGGACTAGTACTTTTACCATTAACAGTCTATGCCGTTCAGCATTCTTATCCTATTGAAGTCTTTCCTTGTCATAATCACAAGCGTCTGTTTCTATAATTCCTGACAATTTTGCACATGCATCCAACGGGTATGGTCATTTTTCTTTCATTTTTTCCGCGAACGTTCTCATCGAATCATGGGCTTCGGTATTACCAGTTTCACATACACAGCCTGGATGTCTTTCCGACAGATATGCTGCCAGTACGGCATGGTTCAGACCGTTCAAGCATTTTTGAACTTGTCGAAAATGTCCATGTCCAGCACACACTTATGGATCATATCGTTTGCCACACATATGCCGTTTAACCCAATTCTTTGCCAATCTTGTTTTTTGGCCATCAGCTTACGTAGGAGATAAATACTAGTCCCAGACGCTGTGACTAAGTCGATAATCCTGCTACTGTCAATGCGATGAATCTCCCCTAAGCATAGCGTAAATGGCACCTTCATCAATCAGCTTTTCTGGATGTCGTCCGTTAACCTAGACGTCATACTGTATATTACAATATGTCAGGCCACGCCTGATGTGGCAAATCATTTCTAGTTTAAACGTCACCTTGTTCTACTTGCCATTAGGCGTAGCTAGAACTGTGCTTCGCCTCGAGCTGCTTTCGTCGATAGGGGCAAAAACGCTGAAACAGCAGGTTCTACAAGCTACCCATCTGGCTTTTTAGTACTATTTCGATTTGATTCTTCATCAGACCTTTGATCATGTCTTGGAGCTGCCGCTAAAAAGATGAAGCTGCTAGGAGTGAAGTAGCTGAAGGTCAGAGAATATAAAAGCAGTCAAGTCGTAATGAAGATCCTTTTAAAGAAACTATGCAAAGATTTGTCAGTCTACGTTTACTAATAAAAATCACATTCTGTTTGAAATCTAGCAGTTCGTTAGTGAACCAGAATGTCGGGATTATTTTAAGTAGAAAAAACATTTTCCACTGTATTTCTATATGCCTATCACTGCACAAAAAATGGTCAATATCTAACTGGCTAATAATAATATCCAATCAAGTGAGTGTCATTTAATCAACGGTAAGCACGAAATACGCCGAATTTAAAAAAAACAACCTTCACTGTCGCACGTAAGCTTATATCGTGACAACAGTGGCATCAGCCCGCAAAATAAAAGTTCAAGCTGCTGTTTTGTGCAAAGATGTACTCCGCAGCAAAATACACAGTATCAGAAACAAATAGCATAACAACACTTAGCTATGCGGTCGGACATAAGTGTGCATGAAAACTGCATGACATCATGTCCACTGTTTCAGTACTGGAACTAAAATTCTTAGTATGACGACCGAACTGCTTGTTGAAAGATTTCAGGATGCGATCAAATCGTCGCTTAAATATCAACGCTAGCCGGCTGCACAGGAATTTCCCTCATTTCCAATTTCATGCAACAGTATTCTCCCAGTACTGTCGTAATCGTGACGCAGAGAATCATCATCAGCCAAAACGAAACGTTCATAGGAAATGCGCCGTTGTACATCCAACAGAATAGAAGATGAAAGACGTATATGGTCGATGCAAAATCCAAGCAAGACCTTGCTCTTCGCACAACGAAGCAAAAACCCAAAACACTGAAAGAAAAATTAATTCACGGAACAAATACTTCAATACAAATTTACCATGTTGCTGAATTGAGAAGATAAACCATGAACATCTCTTTGGCTTGTGAACCTTTAAAATTGAATACCTATAAACTATTTCATGTCAAGTTACAGCCAAATACAAAAATCGTTTTCAGCCACAGCTGATAAGCACATATAGAAATGTTTATCAGAAATACATATCATACCACTGTCCAAAAAACAAATTTCAGGAAGTGTGAAAAACAACTGGTTTCGGTAGCACCGTCTCCTTTCTCAGAGTAACCTAGGGAATCCTTTAAGTAGATAACAGCTCCAGGTAACATTAGTTGCATCGTATGGATGCACTCTACTTTATTGAGTCGATAAAAACCTGTTCGAACATTAACGGATATACCACGATCTCTAGGTATATATTATTTTTAAGAAAATTAACCTAATATTAAGGGTTTATGAGCAAACTGATAGTTTTTGATATTACTGGAAAGAATA